TTTTATGTTATGTCCCAGTGCTCAACCAAAACGAAGTATTTGAGTACCAGTATGTAATCAATTTAATAAGAAAGCTAGCCGTTATGGATATGCATACAATTTTACATTAAGATCGTGTTTTAGCACATGCTTAAATGCTTGAAAAAGTTGCATATTTTACAGGCTCTGTATATATTTCACTAGTGGTCCTCTGGAATCGTGGGTACCCAAGCCCATTTCAAACTAGATCTGATCACCTTTCGGATCAAAGTGTGTCAGTGCAAAATGCTGGTCTCTCTGTTTGTCTTCCCCGGAGATCTGCTCATTTCCCATGCCAAACAGCAGATATAGATACAAAACCGAGACGACGACGAGTCGGCCTCATTAGGTGACCCAAAGTGTCCGAAACTATGCAATTTACATGCACAGTAGCCCCTCGGAGATGGAACCCACGAGGGCCAATAGACCGTGGAAGATAACAGCGGAACTGGAACTCAGACCAGACATGCCACACCAAAAAAGCCAACCAGTCCCATTCGAATTATGTTGTACTGCGGCCATTTCGAGGGGTTGAGGAGCTGACTATCCCACAGATCGTTGCGGGGCGATACATACAATTTGAATGCGTTTTGCATACATTAACCCACTGTTGCCCACTGTTGCCCACTGCTGTCCACTGTGTGTCCACTGTATGATCACTGTGTGCCCGGGGGTGACTGACTAGTAACGGTCAGCAGTTGACCAAAGGCTGGTGGAAAATGTGTTTATTAAATTTTATGATTATTGGCCAGCAATTGAGCAGCTTGCCTTGGGAATGTGTCGCCATTCTCCCCTTTTTTTCATTCCATACCCATTTCGATAGTGAAAATTGAAATTTTATGCGCACAAGTGGCAAGTTCCTTTTCGAGAAATGGCCTGAAATTCTCACGCGTAACTGGAGCAGTTTTTGGTGGCTCCTCTGTTCTCGCTTACACATTGTGTGTTGGTAATTCAATTTACGTTTCCGAAATGCTAATTAACCCGGCCGAGAAAGAGAAGGTCTCTTCTCGCGCTTATTTCTGGGTGTTACACATGTTCTTTGGTATCTGCCTAATGTGCCACAAATTGAAAGTCATTAAGATTTTACGTGGAACCCCACTGTAAACACGTTGCGACCCCCTTTGACAGACATCAATCAGTGGCTCATTACGAATGCACAAGTTGGCTTTAAGAAAGCGCCAACAAAGCCAAATGGATTTCTGGTCTAGTTCTTAAAGATGAGCTATTCGGCGAGGGAAAACTAATTAAAGAAATATTGGGTGGACGGCAATGGGCGTGAAGGCGGTACACATCGCTGGACAATTTTGAACGCTCCTCAAATTGGCAACTAAGTAAACTTGAAAGCTGCTGGAGCTGGTCCATCCAGTCAGGTCTACACGCCCACTTTTTTCCGGGGGGCTACTATTTGTTGTTGTGACTGCTTCGTTATGCAAATTCATGGTGGAGAAAAAATAAAGGAAAGCCATCGCGAAAACAAAAGACAGAAATGAAAATTTTGAGCTATATAGTAAATATATAGATAAAGCAAATGCAAATTGTATATAAAGAAATGCCAGAAAAGACAAATAACATGGTGGAACGACAGGACAACAAATTTAAACGACGGATTTCTTTGGCTTTTCAGTTTTCCGTTTTCTCCCGCTTCCTTGGAATAAATAATAAACGTAAACGAATTAAAAACACTGTCCGAAAAACGAGGGGAAGGTCCTCGAACCGAGGCTGTCCTTTCGATATTTTTGTGGCTTCTGGTTTTGGTAAGGAGCGTAATCATCAAAGTTCTTCAGCGACTCTGGTTTTTGTTTACTGAAGCCAAGTTTTTGCGGCTTTCAATTAGTTTTAATTGAAATTCCCATTGGCCAAGAAAAAGCAATTGGACTGTGCGTTTAATTAAAGTTTTCCAAGCCATGCGGATTGCGATTGACTTGGCAAGAGTTAGATAAAGGCATTATGCTGATTAAAAGGATTTAGAAAGCTAGCGGAGTAATGATATATACTGAAGTGTATAATAACTTGGAATTCAATAAATGCCTTGAATATATTTATATTAACCATTTTATTTTTAAGCTTTCCAAGCCAGTTGCAACTTTTGCGCAATATCTGACTAGAGTAATTGCCCCTTGAATGCCAACATTAGGAGAACATTTTATTCAATTGCGGCTGGCGGAGAAAAACAAATAAAATTTATTTCCCCCCTTTTTTTTTGTGGTCACTTTTTCGGGAGAGAGCATAAAATAAAATGAAATGATGCGTTGAAAGCAAACCGAGCGCCCTTGGCTACTTTCCTCCACAAAAAAGTGGGCGGCGCCAATCCATGTGTGGTTGGCCAAAGGATAGGATGATTCGTATGCCGGGGATTCGCGATGGAGTGGTGGAATCGAATGGGAATGGGGATGGGAATGGGGATGGTATAACGTTTTTGGCTCAATAGATATGTGCTCATGGGGTCCAGGGCCATTTGATGATTTTTGCGTCACCGTTGGTCAAAATCATTTCGAGCGCAAGCAACTGGAAACTGTATAAAAATAATGAAAATGGAGGGGGCAGGGGAACGCAGCGTGGCAACGAAAGCAACTTGAAATAAATGGTCAAAAGAAATAAACAGTCCCATAAAGAATAATCATTCAGAATTCTGCTGAATTATGCATGAGGCCAGACGGTCCGTGGTCCACGGTCCATGGTCCACAATCCATGCTCCCATCGTCCAGGAGCTGGAGCAGCGGCAAACTGGACGCCACTCCACGATTCCATGAAAGAGCAGCAGTCCGAGGAGCAGCAGGGGGTGTGCCACTCACATATGCGAAAAGCCCCTCCTGGAATCTCCAATCCAATCCAACCCAACCCAGCCCAGCCCAAAACCATCCCAACCCACTTGCTGAAGCATCATTTTCCTCTTTATTATCTGTTTGCTTAGCAGTGAGTGTGTGCTGGATTTTTATCAGACTTCTAAGCAGTTAGCTGGTTACACAGTAGAAATGAAAAACTTGAGCCATAAATTAGATATAGGACGTATACATTTGAAGCTTGATAATAAAATATATCTAATATATATATGAAATTATGCGTGTAATATTTAACTAACCAACTCAGTACAAGAATGTAATATCATTGATTTTAACACAGGTGTTATAAGAAAGCTAAAAATTCTGCTAAATTATTTTGAACAATATTTTCGTAGTAAGGAATAAATAATATAACATAATACGACAATTATACAATTTTCATTGAAACATTTGTGCGCGCACTTTTATCACTTTCCATTTATGTGTTATTTATAGAATATCATGGTTGACTGTTTCCCAAGCAACAATTTTTCTCAGTGCAAGAGTCGGCTTCCACTGCTATTTTTCCGGGAAGGTGGAGCTTGGGAGGAGTGTCCCGCGGACACCACTCGGTGGCGCTTGGCCAAAAGTCAACCAACATTCGCATAATTTTCGATAAAGCTTTTCGCCAAATGAAATTCAAGTGGTTACACATGTCTCACAGCCACCCAAACCATCGCAGCGATTTTCGCTTTGGTCATTTTTCTTGGACATCCCCCAATAACATATAGCATTAGCCCATTATACCATGTAGAAAACGCCAGTTCTTCCAAAAGTCAGGCTCATTTCCACATTATATGCCGCATCTGATTATCTGCGCTTTGCTGTTTGTTTGCTTAGTTTTTGTTTATTTCGTTTGTTTGCCCGATTGTTTGTTGTTTTGGCCGAAAAATACTGATAATAAAAGGTAATGATGGGGGGCTACCTATATGGGTTATCTCTTTGTTAAAGGGCGACTATGAATCGACGGAATTGTAAATGGAAACTTTAAGTTTTGATAAAGCAATTGTAATAGTGATTGTGAAAAGATTACTCTTTTTTGATTAAGAAAGTGGAAATGCTTGTTAGTGGCTATAATAGCATACCCTTATTTTAATATTTGCCAATTTTGGAGTAATAGTATATAAGCAAAGTATTTAAGCTCAAATTGAAACAATGTTCTGCTTTTTTATGTGTCAATTGCCGCTTTTGAACCAAGTCTTTGAATATGAAGGGGTCAAAATTATATTCAAAACGTTTCAAATAAATGTTGCATTTCTAAGTATGTAATATATATAAGTTTATAATATTTTAAGTACTACAAACTACTTATTCCGTGCTACGAGTGGCAATTAAAAATGTCCAGGTCGCGACTACCTTATACAATACGTTCATAAATACGGCGGTGTTTTGTCTGGACCCCTCAGTTCTACTCGGCACCTATTCGAAGCGAATCGGTTTTGTTGGGGAGGACGAGAGACCCACTTTATCAGGTAGACACGACCTAACCGCAGCAGACGCTTATGCCTGCGGTCGCGTCGATTGCATCAGATGAGGTGCGAAATCGCAATCGAGCATCCCAATCGGAAGCTAAAACAGTGCTAAAAAATAAAAATAATTAAATCGAAAATCAGTTGATCAGTTGATCGGCGATCACATGGCTTTGGTTTCGCTAGCCTATAAACAAGTGGCTTGTAAGTAATAGATAGAATAGGTAGACTGGCGGCTATAATTAGCACAAGTGATTAGTTGGCGACTGGAGTGGAATTTGTTTATTGTTTACGATCCGGCATTTAATCGTGTGATCGAGAGCGGATCGATCAACCCTCGCCGATTGTGCTCTACTGGGGGGCTTGGAAATTAGCGTACTTTCGCGATAGCACAGCCCATTTAAATTGCAAAAGAAAAACATAATTTAATCTGTTATTGTTTACGACGAAATTGCGTACTTCTAAAATGCGTCATTGAACGCATTTTCCAGATAAGCAACAAAGTGTCAACATGTATGTTTGTTTATGCAAAAACTTAGAAAGCAAGAGGATTTCTCGCTGACTCTGTCTCCAAGGGGGGCCTTAAATAAATAATTAAACTTTGAACTTGAAATGCATGTGCCAGGCAGCGCATTAAGCTGATAAGGAAATCGAACTCATTTAAAAAGGCTAAATGACTTGATGATTTGATGACTTGATGATTTGAGATCAATGCCGCAGTGAGACGCGTGATTTTGAAGACTAGACAGACATAATGCGGTCATTGAATCGCCCATTGAATGATGATCAAAGCCAAAACGTGAGTCCAAAATCTCAGTGTTTATTTGGCATATTTGGCATAAATCGGCGATGGTATCAAATTTAGCCCGACATGCATTTCTCGATGCGGTTGTGGAACCTCCGGAATCTTCCCGCATCCGTCCTACCGCTGAGATTGCATTCCCAGCCCAACTGATAACCACGACGAGTATATCAGCTGCCTGCCATATATGTACGATGATCGGAGGTTTAATTAGGCGCGGCTGTAACATGAACATTCATAATTCCGCTGGCATTCAATCAATGCAGACGTGAACAATTCCAGTGATCAAGTGTTCGACTTAACCAGCGATCTCGTGCAAAGTGTACAGTGTCTCAATACCATAGTAGTCAATACCAATTCCCACACACAATCCATACTCAAAACATACATATAGTACTTTAGGAGGTTATTAATATCCAAGCAAATAATGGCGCAAAGTGATTCGGGAAATTGCTGTGCCAAGCTTAACAAAGGTAAGAATGCATAAATATTTAATAGTGATAGTGTGTAACTAAACCTGGAATCTGCAACAGATGAGTGCTGCCAGAAGACAAAGGATGTGGTCCTCAGTGGCATATCTCCCAAAATGTTTCCCGACAAAATCTACAAGTCCGTTCAGCCGAAAGGAGAGAATGCCACCGGAATGACCTGCGAATGCGGAGTTTTTGGAGCCATCGCTTGCGGGGATTACCCGACACAGGTATGAACACAGTATTTTTATAAAATAAGTCTATGGGACAGAAAATGTATGGGAAAATTAATCAGCAGCCTTAAAAACCAACCTAACAGAAAGAAAATAATCTTACACGCCATTACTTGAAAAATACTTCTCAAACCATTTGTTATGCTATATTCGGTTGGAAAATTCCGGAAAAAATCTGTAACTTAATTTGCTTAGATTGTATTACACAGAAACAAAACAAATATGTTGCATATTTATTCATAAATATGTAAGTCAGTAAAATCTTTATTAGTTAGTTAATTTAATAAATTGTGCTCCGAAGTTGTTTAACTACCTGTGCAACAGCTCACAAACAATTGCTAGCTATTAAATAATAAATATCACCAGGCAAGCAGTAGATAGCCACCATAAGAAGATCATAACTATATCGATATCTCGAAGTCATTGAGGCTGCCGATCATTTGGTTAGCAAAATTCGATGAACGTCAGACGTATGCAAATCAATGGTTAGTGGGTCAATGGCTAGCCCCATTCCACGGATCCACCACCAGATACACCCCCTGCTGATCTTCTAACGATCCTCTATCTGTGGCCAATGCCCAGGGGCTGTGGTGACGTCAGGGAATCGAACTGAGTCGTTTGGATTTGGTTTGACTTGCGGTTGTAATCTGTGTTGTTCATGTTCTTATTGCTCGACTGTAATGAAATGGAAAATAACAGAAGGCACTGGAGTATTCACGGTCGGAAATCGAAATCGACATACAGTTATCTGTTCCTCTTCTCGTCTGATTGCAAATCAATACAGCCAAATTAGCATTGCTAAACTATCTTATATGTTGGGCTAGGTGTTTAGAAAAACAAAGTATTGCTGAGGCAATAGAAAATTACATTTACGAGTATATGTCGTTTAAAAGCCATTGAACAAACAGCTTGCAAGTTTTAAACTTTTAAAATTTTATATTGAATGATTCATGTCTATTAAATTAAATTTAGTTAAAAAGTTTGCTTTGTTCAAATTTATGAATTGCTGAATAGCCAGCTTTAAATAACCATTCTTAATATTGAGTTGGGAAACTGATATGCCTTATCTATGCTGAACACCCCCTGGACTTTATTATTTAATATTTACGTTTATTAACATATTGTATGGCAAAAAGTAAACGAAAAGCCATTGCTAAATGGGATTTTTCTGCTTTCAGCTGGACATAGCACAGATGATCTGCCTGGGTCTGGTGGCACTGCAGCATCGAGGCCAGGAGTCGGCGGGCATAGTGACCAGTCTGGGCAAGTCCTCCAAGAACTTCAGTGTGCACAAGGGCATGGGCATGATCAACAATCTGTTCAATGACGAGGCCATCAGGAAGCTGAAGGGCAACCTGGGCATAGGACACACCCGGTACTCCACGGCCGCAGCCTCGGAAGTTGTGAACTGCCAGCCGTTTGTGGTGCACACGGCGCATGGAGCACTGGCCATTGCCCACAATGGTGAGCTGGTGAACTGCGAGTCCTTGCGGAGGGAGGTCCTGGAGCGAGGAGTGGGCCTGTCCACGCACAGTGACAGTGAGCTGATTGCCCAATCCCTGTGCTGTGCACCCGAGGATGTGTCCGAGCACGATGGCCCAAATTGGCCGGCCAGAATTCGCCATTTCATGACACTGGCTCCGCTCTCCTACTCCCTGGTCGTAATGCACAAGGATAAGATCTACGCTGTTCGAGATTCCTATGGCAATCGGCCACTGTGCTTGGGCAAAATCGTTCCCGTGGACGCAGGCCATGCGAACATCAATGACCAACTGGCCGAGGGTTGGGTGGTCAGTAGTGAAAGCTGCGGCTTCCTATCCATCGGTGCCAGATATGTTCGCGAGGTGGAGCCCGGCGAGATCATCGAGCTGTCGAGGAATGGCTATAGAACCGTGGATATCGTCGAAAGACCGGATTACAAGCGCATGGCATTCTGCATCTTTGAGTACGTCTACTTCGCGCGCAGTGATTCCATGTTCGAGGGCCAGATGGTTTACTCAGCCCGCCTGCAATGTGGTCGCCAGTTGGCCAGGGAAGCCCCCTTGGATGCGGATTTGGTCAGCTCGGTTCCGGAATCGGGCACAGCAGCTGCCCATGGCTATGCCAGGGAGTCGGGATTGCCATTCGGAGAAGTGCTGTGCAAGAATCGCTATGTGGGCCGCACGTTCATTCAACCCTCGACCAGATTGCGACAGTTGGGCGTGGCCAAAAAGTTTGGTGCCCTGGCTCAAAATGTGGAGGGCAAGCGCATCGTGCTGGTCGATGATTCCATTGTGAGGGGAAACACCATTGGACCGATCATTAAGCTGCTGCGAGATGCCGGAGCCACCGAGGTGCACATTCGCATTGCCAGTCCGCCGCTGCAATATCCCTGCTACATGGGCATCAATATACCCACACGTGAGGAGCTTATAGCCAACAAACTGAACGCGGATCAGCTGGCGGATCACGTGGGCGCGGATAGTCTGGCCTACTTGAGTGTGGAGGGTCTGGTCAAGGCCGTCCAGATGAACAAGGCCCATGTGAATCCGCTGAAAGCTGGCTATTGCACAGCTTGCCTAACGGGCGAGTATCCTGGCGGATTGCCCGAGGAGCTCAGCTGGTAGAATCTCACATCAGTTATTGATTTCTTAGGTTAATGTAGTTCTAAGCATCAGCTTGTATATAAAAAGTATGTATTTAAAATTTCAAGTCTTTGACCCATCACAAAAAATGTTGTTCTTCATTAAGCAATCTAGGCGTTTTTTCTTGAGATAAGGAGTAATAATAATAGAACAACAAACTCAAGCAGATACAAATATTTTATAAACATAAATATAAAAAAAATTTAAGTATCTCAAAACCTTTTTTTTACCAACGCTTACTTACATATTTACTAGTTACATTCATTGAGCATTTTTTTTATTTATTCCTTTACTTTTTTTGGCTTTCTCGCAGTCAAGGAACACATACTCTAAATGCTAATGGGCCACATCAACGTCTGATTATTTTCAAATGTCTATGCCATAACTTCAATTCATTTCAATTTATATTTCCAAGCGGGAATCAGGGGGAGGAAGTAGAGTCGCCCGCTTCCGGTTATAGCCGAGCTCAGATATAGCCCCATATCATACAATATGGTAATCGGGTTTGCTTTTTCTCTGCCCTGTCTCTTTCCGGCTGTTTCATGCCACCCATATCCTGGCGTTCCGCTCTCTTTCTTGCGGAGTCTCCCCAGTTTGGGGCGTTGCAATGTCTAAAGCGGGGCGTTTAGGGCGTTTAATCCTGCGGAAGATGTCCTTGCGGTCATGCGGAGCGGGGTATCCCATATCCTCTTTTTTTTCTTCCGTTCTTTTATGACTCGCGCCGGGTACTGGAGTCAACAATGTCATCATTATTCTTGAATATTGTGTTGTATTTTCGCAAACAATTTCGCTAAGCTGCGCGGCATTGGCAAAGCCGGCAAAGGGGGGTGGGAAATTCCGGGGGTGGGAATGGGTCTGGGTGTAGAAGTGGAAATGGATGGGGGTTTCCCTACGCTGAAGTGTGGCGAGGACATAAGAGAAGAAAATAATATGCACTGTCATTGTAACTCGCTTGATTAATTCTTGTGCAGGGTATTAACTGCTTTCAGTTGGGTCTCCTAGGAATAAAGTGTTTTAATATATATATTTCAATAAAAAACGAGGATAAAATTATTTAAAAGTAGCTCATGATCAGGCAATTTCATAAAAATTATATATTTAACGAAACAATTTTTTCCAAACAAAAATCATAGTTTCTTTTTACACATCTTAGTAAAATAATAGTTTAATTTAAATCAAAGTCCCTTTTGTACTTTCTGAATTTCCCGAAAGATATAGAGAATTTTGCGAGTCCTGTCAGCTTCCTTTTTACGCGGATCTCCTTCACCACTTCATCTCAGTTCTCACCAAGTGGCTACATAAAAGAAACGACTCCTGGCAACATTGAAAACAGACGCTGGCACTTCGCTCCAACACACCAGCGTCGTTTGCTGCCACAAGGATACGACAGAAGGACCAAGATATCCACGGAAAAAAAATATATATGTATATGGAGAGGAGAGCGTTTGCTTATGTGCGCCGTCGATCACAAACACAAACATCCTGTGCCCACTGCCGCAGACAGTGACAACTAAGCAGAGCCATATTGCCAGGACCCCCAGATGGACCCCCTCTTGAAAATCCGCCCGGGAACAGCCCCAACTCTGCGCCGCAAAACATGCTTTAAATTTTTTAATAACGCCGGGCTACAAGAGCGCTGACGCCCACGTCCGGACTTGGGATCCGGATCCGGTTTTCGTGCCCGATGACGACAGCTGGCCCCGCCCACTTCGGCCTGCCCGCCCACCGTCGTCATTTGCACAGAAGTTATGTAAATTAATGTTTACTTAAGTTCCCCATGTTATTTCTCCTTCGCATTTCTTCTCTTTTTTTTCGCCTTGCACTTTCACAATGTTTCCTACTTCAAAAACAAAAGCAGACAGCGGTTCGGAAAATTGTGAGGGGGATTTTAAAAAGATGGCAGAGAGGTGGAAAAAAATTGCAATAAATTTGGCAGCCGCTTTTGCAATTTAATAAAAAGCTTTCGCAAGGCGGAGGGAGAAAAGTCAGCTCTAGTATAAACAATCAAGCTTATTATTGAGTCAAATGGCTGAGTAAATATATGAGCCCAAAATTATGGCAATGGCATGCAAATGAAACGGCCGTGGATGAAGATTATGAAGCCATTATCCAAACACTTGATGGAAATTGTCGCCGCTGAGAATTTAATTTAAGCATCAACGCCGGGGGCATCGATGGCATATCCTTCTGCCACTTGACACATGCAACAAGTGAGTGGCAGGGGCCAAAAGCCACACGAACCGTCGAAAGGCAAACAAAAGGACTCCGTTGCCAGCTCGATGTCCTTTGCAATAGGCACGCAAAACGTGCCCGGCATGCAAGACATGCGATGGCCAAAACGACATCGTATGAAATGTAATTTTCTGGCCAATAGAACACTTTGTGAGCTGCCAGGATATCAAGGGCTACAGCCCAGCATATCCTTTCTCCAGTTCATTAGCAAATCAAACTTCCGTCTTTTCGGCCTCAAGACATTTCTGGCATGTGTCCGACGCAAAAAGGCACGAAATTCCTGTCCACTGAAATTTGCATTCCTCGAAACCCCTGATCCCAAGGACTAGAAAACTCCTTGTCAACTGGTAATTTGATTTAAGGACTTTGCTTTGACCGGAGGAACAGAAAAAGGCAAGTGGTCAGCTGGGATTGGCAACCTATTGCCAGGTATTTAATTGAGCTATAATGTTTAATTTATGATATTAAATTAAACTTAGCAGAAACGACAAAAAGTCTAAGCAATATAAAACATATAACTTTTAAAAACTTTCTAAGAATAAAATCCCATTAATCCATATTTTTAAATCTAGGTAGGTCACTTACATTTCCTCATAAAATCCAAATCAAAGCGAATTTAATGCGCTCTTAAAGCATTTTTCCAGCTAATTTTCTATTCCCAAAATGGAATCTAATCAAATGTCCGCTCCACAATTTCCACCCAGCATTCGCTTGAAACGGAATTTACATAATATTTTTAGAAGCAACGGAATAAAGTTTTGCTGGGCGAACCAAGCAGACGACCCAACAATATTTCCACAACTTTGCGTTAATTTTCTAAATATTTTCTAAAATTTTCAAATTGCATTTGGAGCAAGCACGTTGGCCCGAATGGAAAATGGAGATGCCACAGGGCAATCCCAAGAAGGTGGGTTTTCCGTGCTCCAGCTCATTCAGCAACGAAGCAGCCCCAACCACCCACAACTTGCAACGAACAAGTTGAATTTTATAATTTAAAATTATGAACTAATATAATTTCATTTTTGTGGCTTGCACGCAGAGCGACGACGATGGAAAAGCTGGGTGGGGATTTTCTGGGCGGACACAGGTAGGAAATCAAGTGCATTATACGTATATATATATATGTATTTATATATATTTGTGTGTATGTGTATAATGTTGGTTATTGTGCACAACAGCAAATACAACAAAAGCGCGTTGAGGTAATAAATATGTATGAAGTTGGTGTTTGTGCACCAAAGAATGCAATTTCCCTCGAAAAATAAGTGGGGTGGGCTGGAAAAGTGGGCGGTGGGGGGTGGCTTCGTTTGACATCGCGTGCTTTGGGGCGATTTTCCCGCTGCATTGGCCAATTCTGAAGAGCCAGCAAAGATAATAACGATAATTAAGGCAAGCGGCAAACCAAATCTCTGATTTGAGTGACATGCAACAACAACATAATTCACAGCCAGTGCGTCAAAGTGTGTGTGAGCGTGTGTGTGTGTGCTTGCTCCAGAATGGAGACTCCATTTTGGGGGCTCTACACTTCCGGCCATCATTGTCACAGTGTGCGGCAATGCATGATGAAAGCTGGCTGAGATTGCGATGCACTTTCAGAAATGACAGCAATATTTAGCTTTTTATGCAAAAACTGGAAACAATTCAATATTATTTCTGACTTTGGGAATATGGTATAATTTATGAAATCAGAATATATGATACAATTACCCGCGCAAGCCGTGGAAAATTGCAGTCCCAGGGAAAAATATCGCTATATCGTTTAGGGAACGAATTTCACGCTTATCATTGCGAGATTTAATTCCTTAATTGCAAAGTTCTTAATTGATGCTTTACACCTGTTTTCCCTCTCTGCATGGAATGTTCAATTGGCTGGATGGATTTTTCTGCTGATTGTTGGCGAGTAGGCAGGTAATACCTATTTTTTTTTATTATTGTGATTCTCCCCAGTTGCTGCTGATGTGATGTGGGGGGCATCGAGTGAACAAGTGGGGAACTGCATCTGTTGTGCTTCCCATTGCGTGTAAGTTCATTATGTTGGCAGCAGTTGTTGTTGCTCTTGTTCATGGTGTGCCTGATACGCCCAACAACAACTGCGAAAACAATAAAAGCAACCAATACAGCAACAACATGTGTATATACTTACAACCAACAACAACAACATCCGCAGTTGTCTGGCCACCATTGCAAATTTCTACATGGCCGCTCAACTGAAAATTGTTTGTGCAGTTTTATTTTTTATACATTTTTTATTCACATTGTTGATGGCTTTGTTGTTTTTGGTTGCCTGTTGTAAATTGCAATTTCCCGTTGGTTTTTCTTTTTTTTTTTTAATAGTTTTTGTTGTTACTGTTGCTGCTGTAAGCTGCCAGATTATTTATTATTTTAATTAATTTATTTTAATCCATCACCCGAAGGCTTATCCAGTGATGTGATTAATTTAATTACAGCTCATTAATTAATGTAAACTTATTGAAGTGGTAATGAATGTTGCGATAGGCCAGTTGAGCAGGCAATAATTTTTTGAATAATTACTTAAAAGGGGAAGTGAAACGAGTGTCGAGATTATTAGACTGAATCTTTGAATCATTTTAAAAAGTTTTTAAGGTATTTTTGATCATACACCCCGGCTTAGATTATTGATGAATTGTTTAATGACCAATTGACCAAGACAATAAGATATAGTGTTGAATGGCATACCCTGTTTAATAACCCAATTAGTTACTCATTTGCGCAAACATTTCCATTTTCAATTGGCTAAAAATAATTTTGTAAAAATGGTCTATCATTCTTCATCCCTTATTCAACCGCTTCTGTGCATCCGCCCCCCGAAAGCAATTGAAGCAGACTAAGCTCAAAAACTCCGGCGAACTCCA